AGTCTGGCAGCTTTATCTGAAATCACATGCTTTCGGAGTGCTGCTCCTTCATCAAGTGAAGGAGATGTTTTATTACCCTGCTGGGTAACATCATCAGTGCAGCCTCCGATGAAGTGCTGTTGTGTTTTCCCACCTGATATTTAAACTCTGGGGTCTGCTGGAGTTTGTTACCTCATTTCCGGTTTTTCTTTGCAGTGGTGTGTATATTTAGGGTCTAATTCTACGTGTTTATTAATGAGGTAACCAATTCCAGTGGACCCCAGAGTTTAAAAACCAGGCGGGAAAACACAACGGCGCTTCATAGGAGGCTGCACTGATGACGTTACCCGGCAGGGTAATGAAACATCTGTGAACTAACAATCTAGCTTGGCCAGTGAACCAACCGCAACAAATTTATGACTTAAGAGTAGAAAAGCTTAGGTGAAGGGTGAATGTTAGGTCAATTACTTTTTGCAAAGGGTGATTCACAGATGGAATGGACCACAGATGGAAAGGGAACTGGCAAAGACTGACTGCATCAACACAGTTGTAATATTACCTGGTAAGTGGGATAGTGAGACAGAGTCCTTAATACAGTCAATATGTTCCAAGACACTCAGTGCAGGGTAATCAGACAATAGAAACTTTACACCATTCTACACAAGTTAATATTACAACAGATGGCCAAACACTTGGTCCAAGGGATAGGTTTATACAGCATCTTAAAGGAAGAGGAGAGGAAGGGAAAGAGATGGAGAAGTTTAGTGAAGCCACTCCAGATCTTGGGGGCAAAACAGCAGAAGGGATGCCTGCTAACAATGAAACGATAAAATCAAGGATGCACAAAAGGTCAGAATTCAAGGAGTAGAGTGATCCTGGGAAGATATGGGGCTGAATGAGGTTACAGGGATAGGAAAGGGGCAAGTTACAGGAGGTGAAATTTGAAAATAAGGCTGACAATTTTGATACACATCTGTCGCTGGACCTGGCAATGAGAAATCAGCCAGCAGACAGTTCACAAAACAGCTTGATGTATAACATCCACAACACATCTATATAAACTGTCCATCCATTCTCCCAATTAGTGATACAGCTTGTCCATGTATATTGATTTCTTTGTTATGATGGGTACAGAACTGGGTTTACTAGACACAAGGCCAGAAGTTGACTGAGGACTACAGAACAGCTCCATGACTGGGGCCAGCTGTCAGTTTTTAATCAGGTTGCATTTGCAAAGCTCTATTTTGATACTTACATCGTCTTTATCTTGTACTTGGATGAACAGAGGGAGCGCGAAGCCCACCTGGGCCAACTCAGTGATACTGACGAAGTACTCAGACCGGTTAAATTCTGGTGGATTGTCATTAACATCAATCACCAATATATTAAATGTTGTGGAAACTGTGGCATTTGACGGGGTCCGGTCCTCATTCAGTTCAGTGCCCTATCCAGAAAGGGAAAAAATAGACAGGATTACAAAGAAAATATTTATACGCTATTCTGCAAAACATATGAAAGTGTTTATATGAAGTGCAACAAATGCTGCAGTGTAGGTAAATGTGGCAGCCAACTAACAGAAAGCAATATCCCACAAATAGCAATGAATTGAATCTCTGTTCCCTTTAATATTATCGACTACTCAGAGCAGATGGAGAGAGACTGTTGCTGCTAGTTTGAGAGCCAAGGACTAAAGGGCATACTGTACAGATTAGACCAGGAGTGAAACTAGGAAACGCTCCTCCATGCAAAAGGTAACAAAACTTTAGAACTTTCTACCCAGTTGCTGCTGGCTAAATTGTTAATTGTAAATTTGAGGCTGAAAACATATTGTTACCTGAAGGCATTCAGGATTATTAAGCCAGAAACAAATAGCTCTGCAATAAGATGCATAGTTAGAGTGATAAGATGTTTTCACGTAGAATATGACAGACAGCTACAAGTATTTGGAAGGTGGATCAGTCATGACGTCGTGGAATGGTGGAACAGGGTCGAGGGGCCTCCAGCTGTTCCTACACAGTTTAGTGGAGGGATGTTTGTCAGGATATTGGGAGAATGCCATGGTATTTCCTGGAATAATGCTTGGGGATCCTCAACACCCACCTGAAGAGACAGACAGGAGGGTGCTGCGTTAATAAGGATGTTTAGAAGAATGAGGGGGAATCTGATTGAAAGTTACAGGATACTGAGAGGCTTGGGTACAGTGAACTTGGACAAGATGTTTCCACTACTGGGAGAGACAAGGACCCAAGGTCACACCCTCAGAGTGAAGGGACAACTCTTTATAATGGAGATGAGGAGCAATTTCTTCAGCCAGAGGGTGGTGAATCTGAAGAACTCATTGCTGCGGAGGGCTGTGGAGGCCGAGTCAATCAATGTATTTAAGTCAGAGATAGATAGGTTCTTGATTTTTAAAGGGTTTAAGGGGAGAAGGCAGGAGAATGGGGTTGAGAACTGTATCAGCCATGATCGAATGACAGAGCAGAATCAATGGAACAAATTGCTTAATTCTGCTCCCATATCTTACGGTCTTCTGGCCTGATGCCCTCTGCAATGGGAAGTGACTTCACTACTGCAACACACAAAAAGCCAGCTCGACAAGCATTCTAGCAAAAGTCCTGCAAAATCAACTCCGATGGACGGGCACTGTGTACACGGGCTGAGAAGTGTCTCCGCGGCCAGGTCCCAGTTTGTCAACTCTCAAACTGCCAGTTCTGTTCCGGGGAGGACGTAGAAAACACTGCAAAGACTTGGAATCTCTCTTTGAAAGCCTGGTAGCTTTGACCTTGACGAATAGAAGAGGCTTGCTACCAATTGTTTGCGATAGCGATGACCTGTCGGCCAGGTTCAGCACATTTTGAACCTGAGCACCTGATGGATGAGACAGAGCAGTGGCTGAGAAGGAAAGAACAGGAAGACAATTCTGCTGTCCTGATCTCAGGGTCTTGCAGCACTGTCCTGCCTCCACAGGCCCAAAGATTTGAAAGTCAAGAACTGTTCAGTCACATGAGGACACAGGACAGAAACCCTGGGAGCCTGAATAGACATCATCCCTTGAGTTGGGAGACGGAAAATGATGATCTCACCAGGACTACACCACACTGACAGCTTGCAATACAATACATCACACTGTGACAAAAATTATTATCAGAATCTAGCCATAACATAAAACAGTAAATCCGAAAAGCCAGCTTGTAGCAATTACAATCCTGGTCTGAGCAAGTAACATTTGTTGAGGTGCAAAGTATATTTTGTTTTACAGACTTATCCAACTGTTAAGCTGCTACAATCAATGAGAATTGGAGTCCAAGCCATAAATTCATATTTAACAAATATGTATTCAGCAGGCCACCAGTTCTCATATCGATTTTAATTAAAAAAAAGAATTCCTTAGAGTTGAACATAAATCCAAAAAGATAAGTCAGCACTTCTCATGGTGTGCATATGCTTCAATGCACATTTTATTATAACTTTCAGGTTTAATCTAGTGACTCAATGTAGAGATAAAAATAGAAACAAGCAACCCTAGGTAGAAGAGAGACAACAATTACTGGGATTGTGGCAATGGAATGTCCCATTTGTGTGACATTCCAAGAACGTCACCGGCATTTTGGGGTAGTGTGCTCCCATAGTGTGTTCTATCAGCCAGTATAACTTTGTGTAAGCTTGCAAGGTTAATGTTCTTGTCAATTACATACCAAGAGCTGTCCTTCCCAACAGGTTACCAGTTTGTAACCAGTCACTAACTCAACTTCTGAAGAAGGGTTACAGGACTTGAAGTGTTAACTCTGTTTCTCTCTCCACATACCTGCCGAGTTTCTCCAGGAATCTCTGTTTGTTTCAGGTGTCCAGCATCCACAGTTCTTTGTTTTACTTAACTCAAGTTCTTTGTTCATTCTTACCAGTATTTTGGGGAACCCATTTCTGCATGTGAACATTTTGGTTTTCCAGCCTCACTGAACTTCAGTGGCCTTTGTCATTCACAACGTTTTGGGATTTCTTCAGGCAGCAACCCTCAGTGAGCAGCACTCTCACATTAGAGTCAGTACGTTCTAGGTTCAAGGTTCCAATCCTGAGATTTGAGCTGGAATATCAGAGGTGGCTATGCCCAGAGCAGGACTGAGGCAGTGCTGCACTGTCAGAGGGGCTGGCTTTTGCATGAAATGAGAAACCAAAGTCACCTCTGCCCTCTCAGTTGGATTTGAAAGATCCCACAGCCACCTTTTCGACGAGAAGTGGAAAAATTCTCCTAAGGTCTCGGACAGGAATGATCTCCTATCCCACTTCGCTAGAAGTCAGGTGAGCTGGTCATTATCTCGTTGCCGGCTGTAGGAGTTTGCTGTTTGCAAATTGGCTGCAGTGCTGTCCCAATTACAACAATGATTCCAATTCAAAAAGTAACTTCATTGTTTTCAAGCACTTTGAGACATTCTGTGCTTATGAAAGGTGCTACGTAAATGCAAGTTATTTTTCTCCCCCCCATTGACGCAGTCATTCAATTTTTCTGTCATCAGGAGTTTGCTTAAATGAAGCAGGAGGTGGGGTTTTTCTAGGATGGAGAAAGGGCTTCAGAATATATACGAGCTAATTAGAAACCTGACCCTGATACAATTTGCTGCTTTGCCTTGCATCAACAATTACGAGGTTGAGGTCAATCTCCATTGTCAGGATTTAATCTTTTGGATATGGTAGGATGCACAATAACATCAATGAACTGATTTAAACTGTTTCTACGATCCATGCACATTAAACATCAGGGTGAATTGGTTTAGCTCAGTTGGCTGGACAGCTGATCTGCAACACAGAATGATGCCAACAGCATGAGTTCAATTCCTGCATGAGCTGGGGTTACCATTAAGGACTCTCCTTCCCCATCTCTCCCCTCGCCTGAGGCATGGTGACCAACAGATTAAACCATTACCAGTCATCTCTCTCTATACAGAGAACAGCCCTATGGTCTGGTAGGACTATAGCAACTTTACCTTTTACATAATGAAGCAGAAAAGTAACTACACAATTACAGGAACAAGATCCTGAAGGTGACTGCTTCTCTCAACTTGAGTCAGTAGCTAGGCAAAAAAAAAAGTTAAACTATGAAGAGGCAAGTGTATCATTTGCCTCAAAAGTACCAATTCACTAACACTCCTGAGACAGCCCTTTCCAAAACCACAGCCTTTACCATCTAGAAGGGCAATGGCATCAGATACCTGGCAATACCACCATGTGAGTTCCCCTCCAAGTTACATGCGATCCTGACGTGGAATTACTTCACTGCTCCTTCAGTGTCACCGGGTCAAACTCCTGGAACTCCCACCCCAAAGTCACTTACACCCCAAGGTCCCTTACACCCCAAGGACTGCAGCACTTCAAGAAGGCAGCACAGCCTCCACCTTCCCCAGGGACAGACCGTATGCTGGCCCACCCATTGACACCCAGAATCCATAAATAAATACTAGGTTCCTCATTCTTTAATGCACAAACAATTAAGATACCAGTGAAACAGCTCTGCACGATATTTTTAAAATGAGCAAATTTAAATAAAGGGTTTATTCCTCAGGTAAAGAACAAAGGAATCTCGTACCAACAGGCTAATATTTGAAAAGCCTAACAGGGCTAAAATAAATTCCAATTTCTAAAACTGCCACCTTTGATTTAGGTTTTTAAAGACCTAGCATCAATTGTTTGGTATTTAGGTTTATCATCCAGACAATGCTTTTAAGAATATTATTTTTGTACGCAGCTTCTCCCAAAAAAATTACATTCTTGGCCAACAAAGAGAGAGGTTCCAGTTCACAGCAATAAGAGGAGCACAGGAGACTGAGGGATGACATGGTTGTGATGTATAAAATAATGAGGGGCATACACAGGGTAAACAGGAAGAAACTTTGCCCCAGGATGAAGCAATCAGTGACAAGGGGGTACAGATTTAAGGTAAGGGCCAGAAGGTGGTGCAGTGGTAGTGTCCCTACCACGGAGCCAGGAGGCTTGCATTCATGATCCACCAGCTCCAGAGGGTGTGTAATAGCATATCTGAACAGGTTGATTAGAAAGTAGGATAAAGCAGACTGAAGGCTCTAGTGGTGCAGTGGTAGTGTCCCTACCACTGAGCCAGGAGGCCCAGGTTCAAGTCCCATCTGTTTCTGAGGGTGTGTAATAATGTCTCAGAACAGATTCAATAAACTAAACATAAAGCAGAGCCAGGGATGGTTCTGCAGAATGCTCTGCCCTGGGCTGGGACTAGCCTATGCATGCCACAAGTAGTGCCACTACTTTGGTGTTCAACAGCAAACAATATTCTTTTCCAAATTAGAAACCAAAAGAACTATGGACACTGTAAACCAGGAACAAAAACAAAGTTGCTGCAAAAACTCAGCAGGTCTGGCAGCAGCTGTGAAGAGAAATCAGAGTTAACGTTTCGGGTCGAGTGACCCTTCCTCAGTTCAGTTT